GTATATTAATGTGTATATTTGTTATATATATATATATATAGATATATATATATATCTATATATATATATATATATATATATCTATTATATTTACACATATTAATGTACATTTATATATGCATAATACACAGAGAAATCTCATTAATATGTACCATATGTAATGAGCAGATATTGGCCCAATCTTGTTGCTAGGTGCATACTCAAGCACAATAACATATTTAAAGTGAAGAGCACACCCACAGGACTTCAAAATAATTTTTGAAGTCCTGTGGGACTGGATCCGTCCCTGGTATATGACATGTATATTAATGTGTATATTTGTTATATATATATATATATAGATATATATATATATCTATATATATATATATATATATATATATTATATTTACACATATTAATGTACATTTATATATGCATAATACACAGAGAAATCTCATTAATATGTACCATATGTAATGAGCAGATATTGGCCCAATCTTGTTGCTAGGTGCATACTCAAACACAATAACATATTTAAAGTGAAGAGCACACCCACAGGACTTCAAAATAATTTTTTTTTACAGTTGTGCCCTACATACATTCACCATTTCAGTCCCATTAACAAGCTTTCCTTAATATGTCAAGGTAGTTGGACTGAAACATTGATTACATGCAAAGGCACGTCTGCTTAAAATAAATCTGCACTTTTGTTTATTTTGAAGCCTATGAGTGCACTTTTTACGTTGAAGTACTTTTTAATTTTAAGTTATCTGTTTCCAGGGCTGCTTTTAATTCCCAGTCCGGCCCTGAGCGGGTGTGAATGAACATAGAACAGAAGAGGGAGTTAGGGGAAGTATTGTAATGGGAAGAAGAAAGATGAGATATCTTCCCTGATTGTAGAGATCTTGTCAGTGAAGTGAGTTGCTAAGTCTGAGGCAGTCAAGTTAGTAGGTGGAGGAGGAACAATAGGGCGAAGAAGAGAGTTAAATGTGTGAAATAGTCGTTTAGGTTCGCGGGAGAGTGTGGTTATGAGGGTATTGAAGTAATTTACTTTTGCAGAGGAAAGAGCCAAGCTGTATGAGCGGAGCATAAATTTATAGTGGAGAAAGTCAGATACATAGTGAGACTTTCTCTAAAAGCATTCAGCAGTTCTGGAGCATTTTTGGAGGTATTGAGTCAGCTTGGTGTGCCAAGGTTATTGTTGGGGGCGCTTGCTGCGTTTTAAAAGTAGGAGGTGCCATGTCTAGTTGAGAGGAGAGGGTCGACTTGTAGAAGTAGGTTGCAGAGCTAGGACAGGTGAGGTTTGAGATAGGTAAAAGGAGAGTTTGAATATTAGTGCCCATCAAAGCCAAAGATCCTAGGCTAAGTAAGAAGTTGTCCATACCAGACTTTGTACTAGCCTTCGGGTTATATAGAGACGTAATATGCTTCAACTGGATCGCACCCTATTTTTAAAATATATTCTAACATATACCACGAATTTTGATGTTAGTGGGTTACCGTGTAAGCTCAGTAGGGGAGCGGTTTTGTCCTGACCTTTGCGGTCGGATGCAAGTGGTTGAGCATCTGAACTGGGCACCATTTGTTACCTGTGGGGAATAGTTGTATGTCGACAGGCGGTCCCATTTGATTTGTTTTGGATTGGTGTAGTGTCAATACGTAGTGGTCTCCTACTTTGTTTCGGTCTGCTATTTTGAGCATGTTAGTAGAATTGTTTGTTTTTTCTACTGTAAATTCGTTAGGCTGTAAAAACCCGTAGAAGGCCAAAAATATAGCGGTTTTGATAGCATTGTTTGTTTCTGTTTCGAAGGGCTTTGTGTCCAATACATTGGATAAAGCTCTGAATTTTTTACCGTCTGTTGGTTGTCAGTTTATGGACCTTCTAATGGTAGAATGCCTTTTAAAATGTTCTTTATTGGGTTTGATGACATGAAGGTACTCTGGCTGGGGTATATGTTTATGACGTGGTTTTGTGTGTCTGTTAGAGTAGGAATTGTATTAAATCCTGTGAAGGGTGAGTGTTAAGGTAAAAAGCCAACGTTCCGACCTGAACTTCAGGCATTTCCTGAGGAAGAGGCGGTTTGGGCACATGGTCTTAGCGTGGGCTCGGTAACAGATAGAGCAGACATGCAACATCCTGCAGGCGCTGAAACTGCAGCCTCCTGCATTGAAGTTGTTGCATATTTGTGCCTTGCTTAAAAACATGATAGGTCTCCCAAGCTTGTCTTTTAACCCTTTCTGTTTGGCCATACTAGTGCTAGGGGTGATGAAGCTAGTGGTGGGTAAACTAAGCTCATTGGAGCACAAAGTGTTAGAGTGAGTTTGAAGAGCAAATTGTACAAGCCGGTGGTACTAGCCCGGCAAAGTGGCGACAGAATAATTCAGTGTCCATGTGACTCCAATCTATCCTGATGTCAAACTGCACAAAGTTTGCTGCTGCCTTGGCTGAAAATGATGTGTTAATCGTAAAAAATGATTCCACCATACTAGTTTCCCAGATCTACCAACTTGTGCATGTACAAGTCCAGTTCCTCTCTACGTTGGGGAAAGTTGAAGCATATTACGTCTCTATATAACCCGAAGGCTAGTACAAAGTCTGGTATGGACAACTTCTTACTTAGCCTAGGATCTTTGGCTTTGATGGGCACTAATATTCAAACTCTCCTTTTACCTATCTCAAACCTCACCTGTCCTAGCTCTGCAACATACTTCTACAAGTCGACCCTCTCCTCTCAACTAGACATGGCACCTCCTACTTTTAAAACGCAGCAAGCGCCCCCAACAATAACCTTGGCACACCAAGCTGACTCAATACCTCCAAAAATGCTCCAGAACTGCTGAATGCTTTTAGAGAAAGTCTCACTATGTATCTGACTTTCTCCACTATAAATTTATGCTCCGCTCATACAGCTTGGCTCTTTCCTCTGCAAAAGTAAATTACTTCAATACCCTCATAACCACACTCTCCCGCGAACCTAAACGACTATTTCACACATTTAACTCTCTTCTTCGCCCTATTGTTCCTCCTCCACCTACTAACTTGACTGCCTCAGACTTAGCAACTCACTTCACTGACAAGATCTCTACAATCAGGGAAGATATCTCATCTTTCTTCTTCCCATTACAATACTTCCCCTAACTCCCTCTTCTGTTCTATGTTCATTCACACCCGCTCAGGGCCGGACTGGGAATTAAAAGCAGCCCTGGAAACAGATAACTTAAAATTAAAAAGTACTTCAACGTAAAAAGTGCACTCATAGGCTTCAAAATAAACAAAAGTGCAGATTTATTTTAAGCAGACGTGCCTTTGCATGTAATCAATGTTTCAGTCCAACTACCTTGACATATTAAGGAAAGCTTGTTAATGGGACTGAAATGGTGAATGTATGTAGGGCACAACTGTAAAAAAAAATTATTTTGAAGTCCTGTGGGTGTGCTCTTCACTTTAAATATGTTATTGTGTTTGAGTATGCACCTAGCAACAAGATTGGGCCAATATCTGCTCATTACATATGGTACATATTAATGAGATTTCTCTGTGTATTATGCATATATAAATGTACATTAATATGTGTAAATATAATATATATATATATATATATATATATAGATATATATATATATCTATATATATATATATATAACAAATATACACATTAATATACATGTCATATACCAGGGACGGATCCAGTCCCACAGGACTTCAAAAATTATTTTGAAGTCCTGTGGGTGTGCTCTTCACTTTAAATATGTTATTGTGCTTGAGTATGCACCTAGCAACAAGATTGGGCCAATATCTGCTCATTACATATGGTACATATTAATGAAATTTCTCTGTGTATTATGCATATATAAATGTACATTAATATGTGTAAATATAATATATATATATATATATATATAGATATATATATATATATATCTATATATATATATATATAACAAATATACACATTAATATACATGTCATATACCAGGGACGGATCCAGAGCCTGAGCCCGGGAGCGGCACTTGTAGATTAGATAGGGTCGACTTGTAGAAGTAGGTTGCAGAGCTAGGACAGGTGAGGTTTGAGATAGGTAAAAGGAGAGTTTGAATATTAGTGCCCATCAAAGCCAAAGATCCTAGGCTAAGTAAGAAGTTGTCCATACCAGACTTTGTACTAGCCTTCGGGTTATATAGAGACGTAATATGCTTCAACTTTCCCCAACGTAGAGAGGAACTGGACTTGTACATGCACAAGTTGGTAGATCTGGGAAACTAGTATGGTGGAATCATTTTTTACGATTAACACATCATTTTCAGCCAAGGCAGCAGCAAACTTTGTGCAGTTTGACATCAGGATAGATTGGAGTCACATGGACACTGAATTATTCTGTCGCCACTTTGCCGGGCTAGTACCACCGGCTTGTACAATTTGCTCTTCAAACTCACTCTAACACTTTGTGCTCCAATGAGCTTAGTTTACCCACCACTAGCTTCATCACCCCTAGCACTAGTATGGCCAAACAGAAAGGGTTAAAAGACAAGCTTGGGAGACCTATCATGTTTTTAAGCAAGGCACAAATATGCAACAACTTCAATGCAGGAGGCTGCAGTTTCAGCGCCTGCAGGATGTTGCATGTCTGCTCTATCTGTTACCGAGCCCACGCTAAGACCATGTGCCCAAACCGCC